GGGGAATCCAGCCCCTCCCCTGTCACGGCAGAGAGCCGTGACAGGATCGAGAGGTGAGCGAACGCCGGTATGTGTTCCCTCACCTCCCGATCTACTGAGCCGACCTGTGACAGTCTCATTGTCACAGGTCGGCTAGAACTAATGAGGTGAGTGGAAATCACTCATCTCATAGTTCTCCTTTAATGGGGCAGAGGGGCCACTTTGCCATGGGTGCCGGAGGACCTTGCCCCGGCACTGCACACAAGACTGAAAACAGATACTTTATAACTAAGGACCCCCAAATATCTGTGCACAATATGCTGTACAACACCCGATTGGGAGGTTACCCCGAATAGTCACTAGAACATGGGAGCACTTTGCTGACCTTGCGTGGTCCTTGCGGATTGGACTCGGACTGGTTACTGGCCAGAACTTTGAACTTTTCCACCCAGGCTTCCAGGTCCAGCTTCACTCCGACAACTGGAAGAAAAAACAAAGAGTCTCAGCGTGACCCATGAACACAATCCATGACCGCGAACCTACAAGGGAAGTCCATCGAAGCTTCGAGACTGTGCGGGGAAGATGAAGAATTATTGATACACAAAGAAAGCCAGACAAGCGACACTTTGCGCCCCTCTTCCATTCCTAAACTTCTCGCCCCAACTTACCAGCTGGTTTAAGTCTCCTGCCGTCCGTCTCCAGGTCTACGGCTGTGCTGACCAGAATTCCCACCGTAATATTCTCCAGATCGGAGGGCCGATAGCCAGCTGGAATAAGACGCGGTTATAAATGAAGAGATATGGGGATCCCGTGTCCTCCTTCAGAACAGGACAATGTCAGCAGAATGTAATAGACGGATGAGGGGGAGACTCATGAGAGGGACTCTACTGGGATCCTCGAATTACTGTCTCACCCAAACTTTGTGGTGACCTAATACTCCCCCCTGTGAGGTCTACATGCTTCACTTCCTGAGCTGCTCATACTATAGACCTTGAGGCTTTTACTCCACCCATGACCTATTCACTCCCCACCCGGGGTCCCTACATTCCACCTCTTTACTGTTAACAACCCACTTCCTTGGGTCATTGCACTCCACCCCTACACCCCCTTGGTTTTCAATATCCACCCCTGTGCTACACATACCCTGCCCACTGAGGTCCTCACATTCTGCTCATGCACTGCTCACACCATTGCAACTTGGGGTACTCATATTCCATCCCTACACTCCTCATATTCCATCCCTACACTCCTCATATTCCATCCCTACACTCCTCATATTCCATCCCTACACTCCTCATATTCCATCCCTACACTCCTCATATTCCATCCCTACACTCCTCATATTCCATCCCTACACTCATCACCCCTGGGGTTCTCATATTTACCGCTGACACATTTGCCCCCCAATATCCTCATTCTTATTTCCTACACTGCTCACACTCCACCCCCTGATATCCTCATATCGCATCCCTAGACTGCCCCAAAAACCTGTCCCCTGGGGTTCTTATATTTCACCCCTACACTGCTCACATACCATCTAGGTCCTCAAATTTAACTCCTGCACTGCTCACACCCCTCCTGATCCTGAGGGCCTAATATTCCAACCCCAAACTGCTCACCAACCTGCCCCCTTCACATCTTAATTCTACAGTGCTCACTACCCCCCTCCCAGTGATCCCGGCTTTCCCTCTCTGCTGTGTGACTCACGTTCTCTGTAGGGTGCTCGGAAGATGTAGCCCTTGTTGTCGAGACTTCTTCGGTAGAAGGTGGCATTGTGAGGCTCCATGTCCTCCAACCAGTCATCAGCAGCTCTAGGTAACCAGAGAAGCGGATTAGACACGGGGGTCCCCCTTTTATTATCACAGCTTGCTGATTAAATATCTCAGATACTTTGCGTGCCGGGTATCAGAACTCACTTGTTGGGGAAAACTCGGGTGATGCCGCCATCCGTCGCCGCGTACACCGCCAGAAGCCCGTAACTGCCAGGGGGAGAGAGCAAGGACAGGGATGTGTAAAGGGAAAAAGTGGTCTTACCAATCAGGAGGCTGGAATCTCTAGAGCTACATTGTTGCAACTGGAATGCGTCTCATAGAGCCGTCCATTGGCTGTTGCCATTTGTGTTACTTTGTGTGCTCGTCTCTAAATCTCCTTCTTCCAGCGTGAAATGCTTTTAAGAGTACCTGTATACTGATATCCAGCCTGCCCATTCACCAGGTGCACTATATATACACACATATATATATATATATATATATATTAGGGCTGGGGAAATTAACGATTCATTCCTCGATTAATCGTTAAACTTTTTGATCCGATTAAAATTCTTTTGATCGAAAATGAAAAGACTCGCCTCTTCGCCGGCTTCTGGAGAGTCCCGTCGGAGATCCGGTGACGTCATCCGGACTCCTCCCCCCTTCCCCAAGTGGCTCCGTCGGCTAACGAAGGGAAGGGGGAGGAGTCCGGTGACGACGATGTCCGTGACGTCACCAGACTCCTCCCCCCTTCCTTTCGTTAGCTGACGGAGCCACTTGGGCCGGTGAGTTTGCCCAAGAAGCACCAAGCTTGTTGTATCTTAAACTTAAATATATGTACTATATGTACTATGCGGCTCTCCATTAACACCCCCCCTCACCCCCCCATCTCACTCCCAGAAATGTGCCCATTGAAATTCACTGATATTATGTTACAATCAGGTCCTTACATGAAATGGAATGGACGGGTTCTGCTACTTCAAATATTAAGCTAATACTTATGTTTAAATCACCCCTAGGGCTTTGCTGTTTTACTATACTATGTACATACATTTGTAATCCAGCACGTTATTATTCTGAGTTGCCCCACCCAAGCGGCGGCCATATTGAGTGGGGCACGTGAGATTAATAACGTGCTGGATTAGTGTGATCCTAGTTCATTTTATTACTTCATCGCTGTGCTGTATGTGTATAGGCCAATGTAGTTGGATCTGTATGTGCGTTATAATTAATCAAAATTAATCGATTAAAAAAAAATGTGATTAATTGAACACGAAAATTTTAATCATTACCAGCCCTATTATATATATTTATATTTTTTATTTCTCCATTAAAGTTGCCTCTCTGACAAGTTTACCAACCACTTGAAGGGTCAATACAGCCAATGTTGGCATTCATTTTTTCGGTGGATGCTGGAAAGTTAAAGGAGAACTATGGGGTCAGGTCTTTTCCCCATAGTTCTCCTTAGGGTAACGGGAGGACACAAACTAGCGTCCTCCCGTCACCCTAGGCTCAGTATATAGCGAGCTGCAGCTCGCGGTATACTGAGACGCCGCAGCGGATCCCGACATCGATGTCGAGATCCGCCCAGCTGCGTTAGTGACAGCTGGCTCTGCCTATCTAGAGGCAGAGCCAGCTTTAACCGCCCCCTCCCCCGTCCGTTCCGCCAGTCAGCGCTGGCAAATCAGAGCGGGGAGAGGGGAATCCAGCCCCTTGCAGAGAGCCGTGACAGGATCGAGAGGTGAGCGAACTCCGGGATGTGTTCGCTCACCTCCCGATCTACTGAGCCGACCTGTGACAGTCTCATTGTCACAGGTCGGCTAGAACTATGAGGTGAGTTAAAAGCACCCCCCCCTCATAGTTCTCCCTTAAGCTATATGATGGTTGCTGCGGTTTGTTCGGCACTTGCGTGGTGAGATCTCTGTGTTCCCAGCTCCACCCACCTCCTGCAGCCATTACAAATGGGATTCAACGTTGTCTGCTGGATGTTATATTATCATTTCGTAGCAGGTAAATTAAGTGGGAACAAAAGAGCACAGAGATCTCATCCCAGCAGCCTGCAGCAACAAATGTGATATTATTGTTGGGTGGGACACTGAAGAAAAGCATTTAATTTCCTGCAGATATACGTCCGTCATTATCGGAGGGGGAGGAGCCTCTGTGATTACAATGTATCAGATGATACAGTTTTGCCTGGAGATTTATATGGAAACATTTTGTTGTCACAGACAGACTTTTGTGGACATTTTAATCTAAAAAAATGGGATAATGGTGAAATGTTATTGGTATAAAAAAACAATCATTGCCGCCGAGATCCTCCTCGGAGACAATGACTATGGATACGGAAGCTCGGCTCTGACATGGGTTTGTCCTTCAGGGATAATGAAGGTGCGGGGTGAGTGACGGCAGTTTGCTTACGTGAGAAGATCTTTGTCCCTCCAAACACGGTCGGCCAAATCCCGTGTTATTCCCGTGTCCAGGATGAGGTTGTGTAGCAGGAAACTGTCACCTGGATAATGGAACAAACAAGGTCATCATATAGAAGCGGTGAGAATCTGTCACATGAGATAATAATAATAAGCTCCAACCATTTATCACACC